TCGAGGAGGTCTTTGTTTTAATCTCTCCTTGACCTTTGGAAAATCAATCAAGCTATCACTTTCCTTCACAAATCCGATACCAGATTTATTGTAGTAAGGAATTTGGATAGAAAGGATATGCTTCAAGGTTTCTGAACCCTTTGAAAACTTGGAAGTAATTTCTGAAACCTGCTTTTTCAAAACCGCATTTTCTTTGGAAAGAAAATCTCGACTTTCCTTGACTTGATGAAATTCTTTTTGAAGAAAATCGATTTTTTCTTTTTGTGAAACATCATGTTGCCTAAGTGATGAATTTTCCTTTTTCAAAGAAGAGATACATTTAAGAGCAGTCTTAAATTCAAAGCATAATTTAATTTGATATTTCAATAGGCATATCAGAATGTTTTACCTCAATCTCCACTTTAGGATCAGAATCTAAATCTGAATCTGAGTCTGAGTCTGACTTAGCCATTAGACAGAAATTTGAGATATCTTCGTCACTGTCTTCGCACTCTGTATCACTCCAGGTTTCCGCTTTTAAGGCCTTCTTTGCTTTCTCAAACTTGGTCTTCTTTTTCAGAAGTGGACAATTTGGCTTAATATGTCCACGTTTCTTACAGTGAAAGCATATAACATCCTTTGATCTCTCTGTTTCATCGAAAGACTTCTTCTTCTCAAAAGGTTTCTTACCCTTGAGGTTTCTTCCTTTGATCTTCATTTTCTTATACTTCTTTATAAAGAGAGCTAGTTCATCATCATCAACATCTTCATCTTCAGAATCTGCATCAGAATCAATGTTAGTCTTCAAAGCAATTGACTTATTACCTCTGGATTCATTCTCCTCATTCCGTTTCTCAGTCTCATATGATTGAAGAGTTCCAATTAACTCATTCACTGATAGAGGCTTGATCCTTTGTGTTTCTCGAAGAGATGTTTTGATGTTATCCCACTGATTTGTCAGTCCTCTCAGAAGTTTGTTGACTTTCATTGCATCTGGAACTGGTTGTCCTTGATAAGCAAGACCGTTTACTATATCAGTAAACCTGTCATACAAATCAGCAATTGATTCTCCAGGCTTCATTTTGAAGGATTCATATTGACCAAGCAAAAGATTGATTTGAGTTTCCTTGGCTCGATCTGTTCCTTCATAAGTGACAAGGAGAGTATCCCAGATTTCCTTAGCTGATTCACAAGCAGCAATTTTTTTATATTCAATAGGTGATAAAGCATAATAGAGAGAATAAATTGCTTTGAAATCTAAGGTTTCTCTTTTGGATATCTCAGTTTGAGATAATGGAGAATCTGTTGCTATGCTTGCTTTTGCCTTTTCTTTTGAATCAGAAGATCTTGGATTGACTCCTCTGATGATGACATCCCATTGCATGTGATCAATTGACTTTATGAATGCCTTCATCTTATTCTTCCAGACACTATATTCCTTGCCATCGAAATATGGTGGTCTATTGTTGCTCTGTTCTTCAATGAGCCCTGGAGCACCATAGCTAGCCATATAGATCGTTAGCTCAGAAGTAAGACACTTCAATAAATGAGCAACCTGCTCTGATACCAATTGATGTAGCTAGCAAGGATCACCTAGAGGGGGGTGAATAGGTGATCTTAAACAATTTTTGATAATTTATGCGGAAACAAAATAAATCACAGTAGAGTCTGAATAAAATTCAGATTCAAGACAGATTATAAAGACGGTGCTCTTGATGTGCAGAATGTAAAGTAAGAGATAAGGGATAGAGAATCTGCACACAAGTTTATAGTGGTTCGGCTTATAGCAAACCTACGTCTACTTTCCCACGCTTACAGCCTACCGGCTGGATTTCACTATGTAATCAAGAGGAATTACAACTTCTGAGTGTTAACACTCATGTGTATGATAGGACTCTTTTTCTCACATAATCACTCTTACAAAGTATCCCTCAAGATCTTAATGTTTTGCTCAGAATGACAAGAGAAATGATTGGAGTATGCTCAGACTTTGGACTTGTTGATTTTTGATTCTGTACTTCCTTCTGCTACTCGTTGATCCTCTTAAATACTCCTCTACTAGCCATTGGACAGCTTTCAGACGATCATCTTCCAATCTTCACTTTGGACAGATTTGTATAATAAGGATTGAGTAGCCGTTGGATGACAGATTCTGAATCCCGCTGATTCTGGTCGCCCATACAATCAAAATCTTGATTTCCATAAGTAGAGCTTTGTCCGTTGTAATGCATTCTTGTCGTGATGTTTGATTGTCAATCACTTTGATTGAGATTGAGACAATCGAACATTCCTTCTGTGAAATCCATGCCGGATCACTAGCTTGTTGTGTTACGTTCGAGTGCAACGTCGAAGAAATTCTGCGTCTGCATCTGAAGAACTTCTGCGTCTGCGTCTGAAGAATTTCTGCGTCTGATTAATTTCTTCATCTGCATCTGCATTTGAATAACTTCTGCGTCTGAATCTCAGAACCTAGATTATGTGGGTCTTCAAAAACATACTTGACAGTTTGTAAAGTCTGAATAACTTTCTTCTGAGCTTCCAGAATATACAGACCTGGAATAAATTTGTTCAGAATAAGTATCAGATTTACAATAACATAGAAGGTTTTGTCAACTTCAAAATCAATAGGAGTTTTCCTCAACATGGTGAAGAGCATAGAATGTTCAAGTAGTTATCTTTAGCTTGATGGATACGTTGAGTAATGAGGACACACACCGCTCAAGAATCATAGCCATCGCCATCCCCATACTAAAGAATCAAAACCTTAACGAGTCATAATCAACAAGAAGAACAAATTCTTTTTTTTTTCAGACCTTAAAAAAAAAAACCACAAGACCTCGGCGGTTAATTCGAAAATATTAAACAGAAATAGAGATTAAAGAATTTGAAAAAATTAAAGTATTATTAGCAAACCTCCGTGTTAGGTCCGCATCTTGAGGAGTCCTGGAAGGTTGGTCTCGTGAAACAATTTGCAAGTCATAAAGCTCTCCTTTTGCCTCTCCCTATGCACTCGCCTACCTGCCCCCCTCCAATTTTTTGCCTTTCCTTTTTCCTATACTTTCTTCCATTTCCATCCTTTCTCTTCGATGGCAATGAGAAATGAAGATTAATTTTTTTTTGTCCGTCTTACTTTAACCCTCAATTCACTCTGAAACTTTTGCCTTGTCTTCCTTACAGAATGTGAGAGTTAAAATTCACATTTGAAACTAAACATCTCCGCCCCTAATCCCCCCCTGAAAGTATGAGTGGAAAGGGTAGCCACTGGGGCAAGCCCCTGTGGTTAACATTCATGTTTCGAACTACGGATTAAAGTGGAGAAATTATTTGGCTTGGTTCGTTTCAACGCGCATGTGATATTTCAAGCCATGGACGTGAGTGACGACGGCTTGTTCGGTGCCAATGGCCATGAACGACGGCCAGATTTGAAGAGCCGGCTGAGACGTCGCTTGAATGCGGTGGCCAATGGTCATGGAAGACGGCCAAATCTAGAGGGAAATGTGGGTGAAGAAGGAAGAAGAGAAGAAATTGTTATCTTTTCACTCAAACTTAGCGGATACATGTTAATATATTATTAGACACAAGTAAAAAATCGCAAGTCGAGTCAGCAATTAACGCAGCGCTTTGTAACCACCTCGTGTTTTCTCCTCGTTATTAAAACCTAAGAATTCGGCTCCATGTGCCATTTCGCATCTGATTGCGGTCGCACACGCCAGGTCCTAATCACGACCTTTCGACACATCCATATCTATCTAGTTTCAGATGTCGGCACTAAGTTAAAATGCTGACGTATCTGGACATCCGAATAGAGAATTTGGAATCGTTCTCCCTTTTTTTAAAGTTGACTGCTTTTTCAATCATTTTCTATGACATCATGTCCCATTCAATGTTGTTGTTTCTCATTCACGGAAACATGGCGATTCGTCTTTTCCCTTTCCTCTGTTGTTTTTTTTTTTAAATTCCTTTTCATTGGGAGATGCCTTTTTCTACGCTAGCAATTTTTTTTTGTAGGAACTTTTCTGAAAAATTAAGCTTTGTTAGTTTGTCTACTTTTAGTGGCTTCTACAAGTACATCTCCATTAGGATGTCATTATTTAAAGATGGGCTTTCTCTATGTTTCGTCTACTATAGATTTAAGTCGCATGCCAATTAAAATTGCGAATCAAATGGTTGCAAACCCATTCATTACTTGACTTATTTATTAACTCGTTTCTCTTTCAGTTAATCTCACTTACCATAATCAGTAAGTCCATTGATCAATGAGTGTGGTGTAGTGCAAAAAAAATTCTCATGTGTTTCTTGTCATTCCATTTGATCACTGACTTCTTATCATTTTTGGATTTGGCTTTGGCCTGGAAAAATTTGATACTTTGTCGCTTTGATCGCTTCATAGCTTGTTGGAAGATGGTCTGTCACGATGCATCGATCCACCATCGCACTCGATCAAACCAAAAGCTCTCTTGTCCCTGCACTGCCACAACGTCAGAAGTATTTCACCTCAGGGTGGTTTGTGTGGTATGTAAATACACCAAGCTCACAGATGCACAATAATAGCGACTACATACAAAATCTTACGAAAAATCTCATGTCCAATTTTAATAAAGAACACACACAATGCCAGTAGTATTTGTCAAAAGATACTGATCTATACAGAGCAGGCTTGATCGTTCTGTTTACACAGAAGATAAGAGATATAGTATTGAACCAGAGTGAAAAATGCGACTTCAATGTCGGTGTGGGTACACCAAAAGCAAAAAATGGGGAGTGAGGGAACACATGTTGGAGAAGGAGAGCTCGTGCAGAAACATTCGAGGGACAAGAAGAGACTTTGCACGTGCCCTGCTTCTCCAGCAGGAGCTCCTCCACTCGCTGGAACGTTGTCTGATCCTGATCTTCTGTTTTGCGTTCGAGTATGAGAGTGAAGTAAAGTAAAGTGAACAACCGCTCTCAATCGAAGGGATAAGGGAGATCTGGAAAGGAAAGTGTGTCAAGAGGGAGATTATTTTTGCCAAATCCAAACCTACCATAAACTGTCGAATATAGTAGGAGTTTAAAGTACAAATTATGGACGGTGTCTCGTTCCTTCGATGAAAATATCAGCCATACGAATCCCGCCATGCCCTTTCCTGCCATTACGCAGCCATCTATCTTGTGCTCTCCTATTAACCCCCTTGATGCAATATAGTATAAGTAAAATGCAAAAAACAAAAGAGAGTCACACTCCATAGTTTCTAAGACCCCAACTGTCTGGGTGATTATTTGCTTGCTTTTGACTTGCTAGAGAGACATGGAATCATCAAACATTGTTGTTTGGTTCGATTGGTTTTCCACTGGGAAAGATATCAATTTCTGTGACATGTGCTTGGTGCTGTGAAGTTGGGTACAGCTTTGCACTTTGGATTGGAGTCAGCCTCGCCATGTCTAGAGTCGCTTCTTGTTGGTTGTTCCCCTTATTTGTCTCTGCCATTTCCTTGTTCCCATCTTTGTATATCAAGTAGAGGATCATTTGAGTGATGCCAAGCAATAATCCCAGTATATTTGGTATCTGAAACACCCAATTGAACCCCCATTTTAATTTCCAAGTTAGCTAAAGACTAGGGGTGAGCAACTTGGACCGCCCAAACCGGAACCGGACCGGACCGGACCGGACCAGACCGACGGATTTGGTCCGGTTCTCAGGACTATCGGTCCGGTTCCCGGTTCCTAAAAGCGGAACCGGTTTCCGGGCGGTCCAGTTCCCGGTTCCAAGGGGGAACCGGACCGGACCGACTATTTAATATATATTTTTGTTATTTTTTTCTTTAAAAAATTAATAAAATATGAACTAAACTCTAAGTGAACTTTATTATCATAAATTCATTGATAAAAATTAGTAAAATGTAAATTAAACCCTAAGTGAACTTCATTGACAAAAATTAATAAAATGAGAACCAAACCTTAAGTGTTTAACCAAAAAAGAAAATACTAAACTCTAAGTGGTCGGTTCCATTGGACCGGACCGGAACCAGACCGAACCGGCGGTCCAGTCCGGTTCCCAGTCCTAGAACCCACCGGTCCGGTCCGCGGTTCCCAAAATTGGAAACCGGTTCTCTCGGTCCGGTTCCCGGTTCCACCTTGGAACCGGACCGAACCGGGAACCGATCACCCCTACTAAAGACAAATGAGAGAGAGAGAGAGAGAGAGAGAGAGAGAGAGAGAGAGAGAGAGAGAGAGAGAGAGAGAGGTGTTGTATATGTGAAAAGATAAATGAAAAAGTAATGGATGCACTCCAATGACAAATACGAGAATTCAACTTAACATGTTTACGAGAAATCTCAAGAATAATGACTGCAGAAAAAGATTCATATTAGTGGTGCAAGGTTTACTAGTACATCCGTGTGAGTTTGAAAATTTAAGTCGGGCCTATGCGTATCAGGCGTTGCGTGGTTGTACAAAAAATCACAAGAAAGTTGCATGTACAATGAAAAGCATTAGAATTGAATGATTAAGAGAGCTAAATGGTACTTACAGCAATGAGCATGTCCTTGACGAAGAGTCCATAGAAGAACCAGGTGGCGGCACAGAGGGTGTGCAAGAAGGACATAGTGATTGGCATGAACTCCACACTTTGGGTCTTTATCACCCTCTTCTGCACAAAACACAAAATTACACGGTCAAAATTGGAAAACTCTTGTTTTAGACTTGTTTTGTTGTTATAGCTTAAGCAAAGAACTGCATCGCTACAATTATTGAATGACATGAAGGAATACCATGATGCTGAAAGGCGCAACAAACACAGCGAGACTGAACGCCGCACAGATCCATCCGACGGCATTGACACGATGCTGACCCTGGAGAAGCAAGATGGTCAGCACCATCGTCACTCCGAAACTTCCTATGTTGAACAGCAGCATCAACTTCGCTGTATACATCTGCACAGATTGGTGATTTGCACAAGTTTTCTTCAAATTTTGTTGTCAATCGAGAAAAGTTGTAATCTCATAGAAATTTTTCATTTGTATTCCTCCTCACATAACTTTCTTAAGAATTGTTTTCCACTTTTTTCTTTTTCATATCTTCTTAGATATAGGAATTACTTAAATTTTGATGAAGGGTTAACATGTGAGATTGTTGAAAAGCCTATTCCGCGAATAAGTGAAAACACGAACTTCACACCAGAGACATTGTAAATGTTAGGGGTCATTGGTTCTCAAGTGGGTTGGTCTCCGGCCTAGAATCAGGAATTGACCCCTGTGGCTCCAGGTTTCAAAATTTTGGAACCGATAACCGGTTCTCAGTTTTGGTTCCCGGGCAAAATACATCTGTCCGAAACTATATATATTTTTCTTTTTTTAAATGGCTTATTAATCTAATCAAAAAAATTGACAAACAAGATATCTCTCTACTTTTTTGAGTCTTCGTGGGACCAAAGAAACAATTCCCTAAGGAAGTGTGCAGAGAGGGAATTGACACACGCGACTGCGGAAATGTTTTTCTGGGTGTCCCTTTTCCTTTTATTATTAAAACACCCACGCCTCTCTCTCTACTTTCTCTCTACTCTCTCTCATCTGCATCAAGCATCCTACGGTTCCTCCATTGACGAACCTCTTTCATTTCTCCCTTTCACCCTTAGTCTCCACATGGTGAGCTTGACTTTCATCTAGTTTCGTTGTGATGGTGACTTTGTGAGACTATGGTGGTGGCTGCGTGAGAGAGGGAGGTGAGAGCGTCAAGTGCAAGAAAGGAGGTGAGAAGCTGAGGTCTAAAAGAAAGAGAAAGAGCTCTAATCTTAATTTAGGGTTACCTCTGGCCGGTTTCGTCGATTCAGTCCATCGGTCTGGTTTTGTCCGGTTCCGCACAAGGAACCGGGAACCAGACCAGTTCCCCCGGGAATCATCCAAAACTGGCCAGTTCGGTCCGGTCCGGTTTCCGAATTAGACCGGACCGATGCACGCCCCTAGTAAATACCCATCAAGACAATCTCGATCTTGCTTGCAAATACAAAATAGGAAACTAATTGAGACGATGGTTTTTCCCCTCTAGATCCAGCTTTGAGAACCTATCATGATTTGATTAAACACTAAAATTTTCAAACTAATGAACAACTCATGGTTAAGATAACAAAAGTATAGTTTGCTACATTTTTAAGAACAAAAGCAGTAAGAGAGAGAGACCTTCTCCTTGGTGGAGGCATAGATCAAGAAGAGAACAAGATAGGCGTATTCAATTACGATTCCGCTGGCGTTGATGATGATGATCATAGTGGCATTAGTCTTGAGGATTCCATAGTACAAAAGCAACGATGCACTCAAAAGGGCCACCACATATGGTATCGACTGATGGCCATCCGACGACTTCTTCTTGTAGATTGTGTAAAATGTCGGGCTGCCAAAAACAAAAAAGAAAAACAAGAAGAAAAAGGTATTTCACTAATAATGTTTTCACGAAAAAGTTTCCAAATTCATACCGAGGAACTTATAATGGTCAAATGATCGGGACGGGTATAGAAGTTATGTGCAAAATGAAGAGTTGGAGGAGGTCTTACATTGGTGCCAAGAACACCAAAAAGGACATGATGTTGCCTACATAGATTCCAGAGAAAAAGGAGAGATGAGAAATGCAAAAATAGTTCATACATCTCAAAATGAGAGTTCATAGCACTCAATAAAGAAAAATGAGTTATTAAAGTGATTGCTACCATGAATTAATTAATTCCCTTGTTCTAGAGATGATCTTATCCGTCGGATTTTATATGCCCACATGAGACCTTACCTCACCATATATTCATCTATATACATGGACGTGTGTCATGCGGTGTCAACTATACATGGGAAACGTTTCTCTAACTCTCAATTTTAACCTAATGAAGATTGATAAGGATGCTGCTCATCACGAATGAAGCTCAAAATTATTCGAGTGTACCTAAGAGACCAAATAAGAAAGCCAGATGTTGAGCATTCGAGAACGCCATATGATCTTGAAGAGAGGTATTTATTTGCTTGTGCCCTGCTTGTCCAGGGGGAGCTTAACCACTCGCTTGGATCTTCAGCTATTGTTGTGAAGTGAAATGAAGTGAAGGACATGTCCATGCATTTATAGGAGAGAGAGAGAGAGAGAGAGAGAGAGAGAGAGAGAGAGAGAGAGAGAGAGAGAGAGAGAGAGAGAGAGAGAGAGAGAGAGAGAGAGAGAGAGAGAGAGAGAGAGAGAGAGAGAGAGAGAGAGAGAGAGAGAGAGAATGGCCAATTCTACAAAGAGATTCAAGGTCAATCCATGCAAAGGGACAAGCTGGAAACACAAGTTGCTTGACTTTTCATGCCACACTCTGATCTAAAAGATTATCATCGAAACAATTGATGAGATTCAGGTCGCCGTGTCATGCAAAACCAATGCTGATTTGGCACGATGTTATATTTTCGGGGGGATATATGCTTAGAGGTGAGTAGGTGATCCATGAATATGAATTAATAAAGCTGGTGATTGTCCCCATTGAGAAGCTTCCCTCCTACATAAAAAGATAAAAGCATGTTTTCAGATAAGTTTATTCCCCTATTGCGGAAGCGTTTGAGTCATGTGCCGATTACTCTTTGGCACAAAACGGGGGAATGTTTAACCCAACACAATTTATCCAATCAAGTAAATAACCTGTTTTTCCTAAATCAAGTACAAAAATCAAAGCTTTAGGGAAATGTATTTCCTCCTAATGTGGTTAGCCTAATTATTAGAATGCCACAATTTTTTACAAGATAACGAGTTCAATACATGTCATGAGTGAATTTCTAAACAGCTCGTGTTATCTAATCGTCATAATTTGTGTTGAGATGCTTCCTAACTGCTGGCCTTTTGACGGTTTGCAATGGCGAGCTCACCAACCTTGGACACTTGGCAGAGGATGCATTGCAATTATGACACGAACTAAAGTTTCCATAGCGGGGATGAGAATCTAATGATAACACCCAGAGAGGGGCGCTAAAGTCGGTTGTCTTCCCCGCCCTTTTAATAAGCAAAAAAGAAAGAAAAAACTAACTCATCTCTTATTTTCTTTGATGAAAGCAGTCAAAACTTTTTAAGTGATCATAAGTTAAGGATATGATAAAACTTATTGGGAGGTACCAAAAATTTTAGTCAAACAAAAAACTAATTTCAAATAAGAAGGCAAGATGAAGATTGGAACCGTAAACATTAGGTGGGTGAGAGATGTTAGGGGGCCGGTGATTCTTCATCCCGCAAACGGACGTCAAAGAGCAAGACTGCCATGAAAACGACCCACCCACTTTCTTCAGAAGTCGGTTTTTAGCTGCAGCACTCGTGTGGACGCGAACAAATCAATGAGATCCAAACTATGAGAACTGAAACAAGTGGCCCCCACGAACTCTAGCCAAACAAGGGCGTTTGCTGCAAAAGTCTTTTAATATTTTTGGCGTGTGTTAGACGATATGGCGATCTCTCGTTGAATCTTTGACAATTGTCACGGGGTAATGATTTCCTTATGAATTAGACACCTCCGAGGGGGCCTTAAATAAATTGGACAAGGATCTTCATATGGGTTTATATATTTATAATTTTTGAAACGTTGCAATCGAGTCAAACCAACCAGGTTTATATACACAATTTGTGAAACGTTGCAATCACCGGGACAGAGCATTTCATGATGTCCTTGAGATGGGGGTCCAGTATCATCACTTTGCTTATGTCAATATGAATGAGTCAAACAAAATAGGTTTATATATAATTTTGAAACGTTGCCATCACCATGACAAAGCATTTCAATGCCCTTGAGATGGGGCTTCAATAATAGTCCTATTTAGTATTTCGCATCTCTTTGCTCATGACACCACTACAAAAAAACACGAAATTTGCGACGGAAATTTGCGACGAACGTTTTTCCGTCGCAAATTTGCGACGGTTTATTTCCGTCGCAAATTTGCGACGGAAATGCGACGGAAAATATTTTCCGTCGCATTCCGTCGCAAATTTGCGACGGAAAATACAATCCGTCGCAAAATCCGTCGTAAATTTGCGACGGAAAAATGTTCGTCGCAAATTTGCGACGGAAAATAAAACCGTTGCAAAATCCGTCGCAAATTTGCGACGGCATTGTAAGTCCGTCGCAAATTTGCGACGAAAACTTCGTCCATCGCAAATTCGTAGTTTATCAGCCCGTGATATTCCAACCCTATCTCTCACTCTCGCTCTCTCTCGTTTTTCTCCCTCTTTCGTTTGTCTGAAATAAGCAAAATCCGCGCACGCACATATTAATCTCGGTGAAGCTTTTGTACCGGTAAGTGTCGTAGCTAGCTTCGTGACTATTCGTCGTTGCATTGTAATTTCCGTTTTTTTAATATATGTTTATGTTTGTTTTTTTTTGTATCTACATCACCGGTTTAACGACCGGCGACACCTCGCCGGCCTTTGGATGAGGCCGAACGGCCACGCCGTTTTGCGACTGAAATAGTTTCCGACGCAAATTTGCGACGAATAAATGAAAATTCCGTCGCAAATTTGCGACGAATGAATGAAAATTCCGTCGCAAAATTTGCGACGGATTTGAGTATCCGTCGCATTGCGACGGAAGACTATTTCCGTCGCAAATTTGCGACGAATAAAGAAAATTCCGTCGCAAAATTTGTGACGAATTTGAGTATCCGTCGCAAATTTGCGACGGAAATAGTATCCGTCGCAAATTTGAGACGGAAATAGTCTTCCGTCGCAAATTTGCAACGAATAAATGAAAATTCCGTCGCAAATTGCGACGGAGTTGAGTATCCGTCGGAAATTTGCGACGCAAAACTAATTCCGTCGCAAATTTGCGACGGATACATTCCGTTTCCATCGCACATTAAAAATTATCAAAAAATGATTCTTAAGTGATTATTCTTTTTTGGATATGTGCCTAATTGAAGGTATCGCAATCCAAGTGGACGTTGCAATTCTCATCAAATTGATCACTTTCTCCTACAAATATTTCAGTCAAATATTTGGGTAAGTTTTCTTTACATTGTAGTTTTTTCTATTTTTGCAATTTGATATTAATTGTTGCGTGAATAACATAAATTATAATTTCCAAAATTTTATGGTTTTAATTAACAACAATAGATATAATATTTTAAATATTTTACCAGAATTTTTTATTTTAATACAGACACAATGCAAAGAGAAAGGTCTTGGATGTATAATAAGAACTTACCTGGACGTCAAGGATTGATGGATGAGTTTAAATCTTGGATTGGAACTATTTTTAGACTTTGCTAATAGTAAATATGAGTTTATGGATGGAAATAAGTTAAGGTGTCCGTGTAAAAAGTGCGGTAATGGTAAATTTCTTGTGTGTGATCAAGTTAGAGAACACCTTATTAGATTTGGGTTTACTCCGAACTATTATAATTGGACTTCCCATGGTGAACCATTTATATCTGATGAAGGATATGGAAGAAGTGACCAATTTTCAGTTAGGGAAGAATGTGGCTATTATGAGCAATTGAACCCATACGAGAGGATGGTGATTGATGCGGCTAGTTATAATTTTGTCACAGAAGCAAATCATGCAAGTACTAGTTTTACTCCTACACGTGAACAAGTGTGTACTAGTCATGCTTCACAATTGGAAGATATAGGAGTAACGGGTTTTGAGGAGAATGTGTATAATGAAACTTTTCAATCTAATCAGTTCTGGGATGTCTTGAAAGCAGCAGATGAACCTCTATGGACAGGTTGTGAGGACCACACTAAGTTATCGGTGACAGCCCGACTATTAAATATCAAGGCGAGCATAATGTGTCTGCGGATTGCTTCAACTCTTTTGTTGAAGTAATGCGGGAATCATTGCCTCGTGATAACAACATGCCAAGTGATTTTTATGATATGAAAAAGCTAGTGGATAACTTAGGTCTTCCGGTTGTAAGGATTGATGTATCTAGTAGGGGTTGTATGATATATTGGAGAGATGATGAAAATGCAGAATCTTGCAAATTCTGTAGCCAACCTAGGTACAAGATTAACAGGAGGCGGGTCGTAATCAGAAGCGTAAACCATGCAAGCAAATGTTTTATCTGCCCTTAATCCTCAGATTGCAAAGGCTTTATGCGTCTAAAGCCACTGCTGAACACATGACTTGGCATGCAAATCATGAAACAGAAGAGGGTCTAATATGTCATCCTTCAGATGCAAAGGCATGGCAACATTTTAATAGAACATACCCTGAGTTTGCAATGGAGCCTCGGAACATCAGGTTAGGTCTCTGTGCCGATGGATTTGCTCCATTTGGGAAAACAGGAAAAAGTTATTCATGCTGGCCAGTTATCTTAACGCCGTACAATCTTCCACTTGGTATATGCATGAAGACACCTTATATGTTTTTGACATTGATCGTGACAGGGCCGCAAAATCCGAAAAAGTTGATAGATGTTTATATGCAACCATTGATTGAGGAGTTACAACGGCTATGGGTTGAAGGTGTCCCTACGTATGACGTTTCTACCGATCAAACATTTGTTATGAAGGCTGCCCTTCTTTGGACGATAAATGACTTTCCAACTTACGGAATGTTATCTGGATGGAGTACAGCTGGGATCTTAGGATGTCCGATATGTTTGGAAAGGACAAAGTCATTTAGATTAAAACATGGAAAGAAGCCTAGCTATTTTGACTGTCACAGACAATTTTTACCGCCAAGTCATCCTTTCAGAAGGAATAAGAAAGAGTTCAGCAAGAATAGGACTGAAAGAACGCGTCCACCATTGAGGTTGACTGGCAATCAAATTTGGGAGCGTGTGCAGGACTTTCCAACTGTTGTTGAAAACCCGCACGGCACGACTTTTGAGTACGGAAGTACACATAAGTGGACAAAACGCAGTATATTTTGGGATCTACCATATTGGAAGGCCCATCTTATTCATCATAATCTTGACGTCATGCACATAGAAAAGAATGTTTTCGACAATGTCATAAATACTGTGATGGATGTCGCCGGAAAAA